ATCGGCATTCACGTGACCTAATTTGAAAATATTTATTTTTATATATTAAATATACCACATTTTTAGAGGTAAGATTAGATACATTTGTTTGTATGTACATATATGTTATGTGTGTATTTGGGTTAATCAGTTGGGGTTAGTTAGTGGTTGGACAGTGCGATAAAATCATTAAGTATTTTGTTGTTGTTTCTCGACAAAATTTGCTGCAGTCTACATAGAATGCGTATAAAAGTGTAATTAAAATGTGTTAATGAAAACTTGATCCAAGAAATCATTTTATATCATGCGATTATACACGATGTAGGTATGTATCATCATAGATTCCCAGTAGGAAAAGTAGTAGTGCATTACATGCGTGATAAATAATGTAATGTATTTCGTATGAGTTCTAGATTCTTTTACTGTTTAATATGAGCTGGTTAGTAAGGGAAATTNCGATTTTAAAATTTATCTTATAAAGTGGTAAGGTCTTGACAAATCTTGAATACTAAAAATCTTTTTATTTTGTAGCTAAGTGTAATCAATTCTATTGTTACTTTTCCAAAAACCTCAGATATTTTTTTATAAATTTTTTTTTTAATATCAAATTTTTCCTATGTTAAAGTTTTTAGAAATTTTGAAAGTTTTTACCAGTTCTAAAATTTTTCTTAAGTTCAAATTTAGAAATTTTTGAAACTGTTCCCCAAAGTTAAAACTTTGAATTTTCGAAATGTTACAAATTGGTTAAAAAGTTGAAAAGCTTCCAAAAATAATAATTTTTAGTTCATTTGAAAATTTACGCTCCTCGATTTAACCTTGTATAGCCATCAAACAGTTTCATAAACTTTCAATTTTCATAAGCGGGAGAAGTTGTTAGAAGCTTTCTATGGATTGTAGATCCGTGATGAGCGCTGCCTTGCCCGCGGGCAAGGCTCTTTTAAGCTTTCTACAAATTTGTCTATTCGCGTGCTGAGCTAAAATCCCTCTCTGCCCATCGCGGTTGTACATCAGTCACGACGAAAATACATATATCCTGCGGGATAAGCTTTCTATAGATTTTCTATGGACGCGCAGTGAGTAAAAACGTTTTGATCGTCACTTTTTGATGGACCCGCACAAAGTGAAAGTTTTTCTGGTCGCCACTGACGTAAGACGTCGAAAACCAAGGCGAAAGAATTCCTTCTGTATATCTGTATTGGGCAGAGAAAGATTTTACTCGCTGAATGTCTACACACAAAACGTATAGAAAGCTTAAAAAAACTCTGCCTACGGGAAAAGTTATTGCCCACCCCTGCTCAATTTATCAAAGTTGGCTACTTCCCAATATAAAAGCTTACTCTGGCAAACACTGGTATATATTTAAATCAGCGATGAACAGAGAATGCTTTTACTCTGTACGCGCCCATACAAAATGTAAAGGAAGCTTAAAACAGCTTTGCCCGCGGGCAAGACAGTGCCCATCAGTGACTTAAATACTTTCATGGAGCCGAAAGAGAAAAGCAATATTTCTAAAGTTTTTTGGCAAAAAGTGCCGCTCAAGTAAGGAAGCACAACGAAAGCTTTTAACGGGTTTGAAAGGGTTAATGGGGCAAAAACGCTTTTCAACACATTTGGGTCTGGAAATATGAAATATTTCAAGTTTTGTTTATCTACGTGTGTTCTTTTTAAGGAAAAAGAAGGAAAACTCATTATACTCTTATATCACTTTTGATTGCATTTTACAACAATTTCAATTGAATCAAGCTAATTATCATTATTGTGATTAGTATTAACAAGCATTAACCAATAATAACAAAACGCACAAAAAAATTACTACTAAATTCTTTTACTACTCGAACTACGCATAAATTTATTAACTTTAAGATTTATAAAAAAAAATGTATATTTTTATATGTGTATACTATATACATACATATACATTCACAATATACGATTCCATCTTATTTGCATCAAATTAAAGCGCATTATTTGTAAATTAAATATCATTCACTACGTTATAAGTCAACTTTTTATGTGGTAATCGGTAATGGATAATTGGTAATAAAGCAACAAAGGGAAGCACAAATGAACAAAGCAAATCGCAAAATATTTTTTCTCATAAGAAATAGAATGCACTGAAAGTAAGGGAAGAAAACTATGTATATGCGACCAGCTAGCTATGCGCGAACCAGAGCCAGAAGTTAATGGCTTGCGCGTTTCATATCGAATTTACATTTTTTAGTTAATCAAGTTATTTAAGAGGCGGTTAAGTTGCATTTATTGTAGAAAGAAACCATTTGAAATTGACTTTGTCTTCTAATTATTCTCACTTCTTCAAACCGGAAATCAAGGATCAAATACACAGCCTGACAGTGGCCTTAATAAACGACTTCAAGAAAATCGAAATAAAAATTATTTTTTTTTTAATTTTTAAGCAAAACAATTAATTTTCTAAGGATGTTCTTAGGTTTTTACAATTATATAGTTATAAACTTAGGTACACAATTTCCATATTGTTTTAGGTTTCTTCATACAGTTAAATTTTTCATATTTTTACTTTATTTTGTGAAGTCACTAATATTAATTTTAACTGCCGCACTTCATGGTTTTTGCATTGTTTTTTTTTTTTTTAATTCTAAATTGTTTGTCTTCAGATGAGTTTTCATCGTTTGGTTGTTTTGGATTTGCTAGTGTAACGGTATTTCTGTAATTACTTCAGTTTAGAGGCGCGTGTGTTTGCAAGCTAATGCTGAGAGCAACCATATGTATGTATATACAAGAGACTGAGCAGACAAAACAAGCCGAGAGCCGCAACATGTTGATGATACGGAAGTGTGCCAAATTGGTTGACTGCTTGGCAGATAATAGCAATTTTTTTTAACAAAATTTAGCCCTATAATTAAACAAAAAAACATAATAATTTTATATGTTAACGGTTTGTTTTGTAGCTGGTTGAAACTCAAGGCGTGCTGCAATCGCAAGTCACTTGATTTATTAATTTGTGAAGTGAAGGTCTCAATTTAGCTCTGCAGGTGCCTCAACTCAATTCGGGACTGTTGATTTTCGAAAATGTTCTCTTCAAGCAGTCGATTTGATAAACTTCCGAAGCAATAGGTACTATAGTCTGAATAGATTCATCGTTATACTCGTAGTGCAGAATATTTTTTATACTTACAAAGTCTCGGCCAGAAAGAAAAGGCTTTGCACGTTAATTCATAACTTTCATGGCTAAGAAAACTCGGATTGTGTACTCCTTATATGATCCATGCGCTTAGCAAATGCTTTCGGAAGTCTTATTTTTACAGTTGGCTCAGAAAATACCCGTGGCGAAGTGGCATGATAGACTTTCAAATAGTAAAATCTTTAATTGCTTTACAAGCAGAGGTTCCTGGAATAGTCTCGGCAACAGAAGCAACGAGACATACCTCCAATTTTTTTCAGAAAGGCATGCGACTGTAATGACTGTGACTGTGAATATTACAGCCATTTTTGGTTCCTTCTATAAAAATCGTGAGAAATGACGATAGAGACTTATAAACTATAGTGGGCTAATGAAATGTCGGAGTTTCTTCTTCTTGCCGTGACACTGGGTAGAAAATTTGCTAAAGTCGAGACTTATTCTTCTCAGTTCTCTGACAGTTTTTTTACTGTAAGTCTCGCCCTAGTTTGGCCATGAACGAGCTAAAATAGTTTGCATGTGGCACGAGGAATTAAGAACTAGCTACTAAATGAATAAGATATTTTGATGAATTTCAAACCACTTCTCTGGTTGTTTGTTGTTCAATTTGTATCAAATGTTGCAGATCCATATTGAAAATGCGGGAGAAAAGGGAAAGTTCACTGACGTGCCTGAAATTTGTCAGAGCCAGCGCACAAATTTGTGTCTTTTTTTGCCATTGCTGCCTATGTACTATAACTGGCTAAACGGGTGGAAAAATTTCCAATCCTGTAGGACCTGAATAAGTTTGTGTCCCTCCTCCTGCTTAACCGCAGTTCAATCGCAAAAAATGTTGACTGGCAGGATTCGTCTAAATTCACTACTGTTGTAAAAGGTGCTATGCAGGTATAATGAGATTGGACCAGGTATTTGATCAAGTAAATAACAAAAAAAATTGCGCAAAAATAAAAGGCGTTTTCCAAAAATTAACTGTCTTTGCTCAAATATTTGTATAGTCCATTTGGCGCTTTTCTCAACTTACCACCCATCATCAGCATGTTGCAGCAACATGTTCGCTCAACTTTTGCTTCTACATAGTAAGTACATATGTTGCCCGGCAACTCTGTGCAACTATTTCTTGTCATTGTTATTGCTATGCTGTTGTTCAGGCTGCATTTTTTAATGTTACTACATTTTTCTAATCTTGTGTGTGTGTGTGGGTGTGTGTGTGTGTGGGTGAGTGTTTACAAGCAGTCCTTACCATATTTTTTCGCTATTATATCTATATTTCACGTAGTGCTTTTTATTGTTTCATATTTGTAACTTTATTCAACTATTTTATTATAATTAGTTTAGTTTAATCTAAATGTTGTAAGCAGCTTCTTTGCCATTTTGGCATTTTTCATTTTTTATTTAACAATAATTTTATGCATATTTACTTAATAGTTTTTTTTTGCGTATGTATTATTACGTACATATGTATGTATGTATGTATGTATGTTGTATGCATTACCTAAATCGCTCTTTGCATCAACTGCTTCTGTATAAATGTGTATGTGTGTATGTGTAATTCTGAATGGTTGCATATTTTGTCTGCTCATATGCACTGGTTTTCTCTAGGGGTATTCACGATCCGGTGCATACTGTCTAGCATGGGGCATACATAGCATAAATAGCATGATTGCTGATGCTGTTTCATTTATTCAAACAAAAACAAAAATAAGTCAAACATGCTTTTTATGCTATCTATGCACCGCGCTAGACAGTATGCACCGGATCGTGAATACCCTTTATATAAATTATATGCATGTACATATGTACTTTGACGTATATGTATGTATATGTATGTTTGCATAATTTGCTTTAGTTGGTAGTTTTTTTTTTTTAATTTTAAGCAAACTCAATATTTCATCGAGTTCTGACCGAATTTGCCAACTACTTCGATTTTCATTTTCTATTTACTTGTGTCTTTGTTTTTAGTGTGGTTGTATTCATACTAATACCTCGCTGCCGCACAGCACAGCATGAGTATACATATTACATACATATGTAAGTATGTATTGTAAGTTACACCCGCCCCGCCTACTCCGCCAGCCACCGCATTGCTCCTCCCGCCATGTTACTTTTGTTATCGGCTGATATTTTTTTTGTGATTTTTTGGTTGTGGTTCATTTTGTGTCTGCACTATTGATGTTTTTGTTAATACTTTACTCTTTCTTCAATTTAAATTTGATACTAATTTTCGTAAATATTTTGAAATTTAATTAATATGCTTCTTTCGCTTCTGCCCTTTTAACGATTTGCCTGCTTTTTAACGGTGTTAGTTGTTGTTGCATTCGTCCATATGCTACTTTATTGCATTATTTTTAAAATTTTATTTAATTTAAATTTCTTTGTTGTATTATTATTTTTCCTGCTTCCATTTCGGCTTACTGGTTAGTAAAATAATCAGCTAATAATTCTTCAATGTTTCTTTGTTTATAAAGTGTATCTGCGTGTGTGTTTGTGTGTGTGTGTTGGTGTGAAATAATGTAGTACAAGTTTCCAATCAGCTTCAGTTAGAATCTTGCTGCTTCCAATTATGTAGAGATGTATGTATGTATGCGTCCGATATTCCAATCCTTTGCCCCTTCATGAATAACTGTGGATTTGCTTTTCGTAATTTTCATAAAATAAATTGCCTTGTTGGTTTCTTGGTTGGTTGGTTGGTTGGTTGGTTGCATCTGGTAAACTGGTGGTTGTGGTTTTTGGAGGTGATATACATATATATATATATATTAGTATATTGGGTGGTACTTCTTAACATTACACATCTTGGAATTTTGAGAGACGCGCACGCAAGTCCATATTTTCCTGCTTCAACTGTTCCACTTCTTGATGTAATGTCGAATTCTTTTTTGAAGAAAGATATGAAAACAAAAAGATATTAAGTAAGGATATGCAAAGATATAAACTCACTTTACTCACTTCCTTTTCCAGGTATCGGGCACGCATCGCTATTTGATTCTCCTTTTGGCGGCGTGCGTCACGGGATCGCTTGGCGGCAATGTTATTCTTCCGGCGTCGTGCCCAATATTTGTCGTCCTTCAGCTCGTCGGGCACAAACTGTTTGCGTGATTTTTTTATCATCGGCTGTGGTTTGAGCTCTTCATCGGAGAATGCTCTGGTGCGCGGATCGAAGTCTCGCCCCGATGACGCAAAGGAGAAACCTGAAATGTCGAATACTTAAAAGTTAACAATGTTTCATAAACTGTCCGTGGCAAACTAAAATAAGTGGAAAAAAATATAACAAAGAAGACAGCAAGCACTAAAATATGGGGGAGAGGTTGGAGTGAGTTTAAAACTTAGAAGTATAGTAAGACTTCAAGCAGCAAAATGCATCTTAAAAAAGTGGTTACATTTTCTGGGCGCTAGACCAGATATTACTCTGGTAACCCCACATGGAAAAAACAGCGAGGAAAGCTGTAAATTTTTTTATGAAGTGTAGGTCCATGTCAAGAAAATGTTGAGGTTATTCCACACTAAAATCTGAGAAAGATCTTTACTGCAAATTATGACCCTCGGTAACTTATGAAGCCATCACCTGAACCGCGTTACTTAACAGAGTTACACAAGGGAGCGTCATCAAGGCGCTCAACAAGAAATGTATGGGTAACGTGGAGAAGAAATCCGATTCATAGAATGGTGGAACTGCAGGCAAAATATTACTCTGTTAAAGAGCTCAAAAATTTTTATTTTCACAGAGTTGGTAGATTTTGTAACTATATACTACCATTAACATTTATGTAGGTTTCGTCCGTTTATTTTATTAACTAATTTAGAAATTAAAGCTTGTTCCGGATAAAAATTTAACTGAATGCTATGTACAGTAATTAGTAGTAAAATACGCATCAACAGGTACTAGCGAAAACTGAGCAATTCTCTAACAAGGATTATATGTAATTGCATAATGCCTAACTTTGTTACTCACTTGACTCGGCCGGTGATGGTGGATTCAATGTTTCCGGACTTATACAATCCGATGGCGATGGGGAACGTTCACGTTTCGTCGTTATATGACCGAGACCCAGTCCCAGTCCAGCTGCATGCCCCAGCGAATCTGATCGGTGGCCCAAACCACTTGAGTGTCCCAAATGGGTGCCAGGCAAGCCATCAGGTATATTATTCTCCGATAAAAATTCATCCAAATCTGCGTACTTTACGTTGCGAATCATTGATGCGAAGGCGAAAAATAGTAAAAATCGGTTGGTTTTGTTAGTTGGAATTGAATATTTATAAACAAAAAATAAAATAAGCTCAAACTTTCTTGAAATTATTCAAAATAGTTTTGTTTTTTAAAAAATTTTCGTACTACACACATTTGACAATTAAACAAAAAAAAGCGCTTATGTAATTCTATTTTGAAACTATGAATTTAAGAGCATAAACAGAATTAAATCGCTCAGACGAATTCGTTGGAAGAAAGTTCGCTGCCGTCGGTCACAAAATCTCTCAAAAGCTCTCAGTGGGAAAGTAGCTTTGTTTCCACATTTTCTAGCAGATAACTATCAGCAAGAATCAGAATGGCAAAAAATTGGGGAGTCATCTATTCGCTTTTGTATTTATATAATTTTTGTTTGTCATTTTCCTTTTTGTTTTGTTTTGCTAGGCGAAATATTACAGCGAATATCATCCGGCGGCATCGCTCCAACCGACGAAATTCGCACAGCGATTTGGTTCTCTTTATACTTTAAAGCAGTGTGTCTTAATAAAAAATGCGGTGCTTGAAATTTACGAATTGGTACAAATTTTAGAAATTGAATGATACAATTCATGAGAAGTGATGCTGAAATCTGTGGGCAACTGTTCTGGTAGAAAAAATTTAGCGTGATATTACAGCACCTACCGGAACACATTTGCATAACAAGTTTTGAGTCAATCACAAGTTTTTATAATTTACTCAAACACCCAGTGTTGTATTTATTTTATTTACTTGTGTTCAATAAAACTAAGGCGGTTTCTTCCTTATGGGTCTCAATGCCCTTCCATGAAGGAACTGATGTTTAGAAATGACGCGATAATCTTCTAAAATCTTTTGTTGTTTTTGTTTGTCTAAGTTTCTCACTCAATTTATAGAGTACGACTTTGTGATGTGACAAAAATAGAGTGGCATACCGTTTTACTCCGACTAGTATTATAAGCGTTTTTTTATGGATTAGTTTTTATGAGAAGAATACTTTCAGAGTACAACTCCACGAAAAGCTTTTCAGGCGTTCCGCGCTTCTCTGACTTTCAGTTTTACAATTCAACTATTGTTGAAAGCCTGAAAAGCGCGGAGAGCCTGAAAAGCTTGTTGTGGAGTTGTACTCCGGGGTATTCCCATTGCCTTCTAAAGACAAGACAAGCAACCATTAGAAACCACTTTTTTGAGTATGCAGATTTGTAGCCCAATCAATTTATTTTTTAAAGTACAAGTTTCAAGAAGCTCGGAGTTACCGTTGATTTTTGGCAATTTTTTTCGATAATATTTTATATAGAAACAACAACATGAAAAAAATTCTCAAAAACCATTGCAATTTTTGACCAACTCCGAAATTGCATTTTTTACTAGAATTTAATGGGCTGCAAACCTGCATACTCAAAAGAATTCTAAAAAATCTGATTAAAAAGTTGAAAATTTGCTGAATTCTCGCGAGTTTTGCACAAAGTTCAGGAATTATATATCTATGTTCTTGTTGAAGAATGAACCGTATTTTTATGAAAAATTGTCGGAGAAATATTATAATAATTTGTTCCGGCTTGGAAATATATTTCGCTACTTCCTTTTATATTTAAATGTGATATTATTTATCTAGCAATCTAATTTTCCAGAAAAGTAATTTAACGTCACGAAAATGTTGCATTTTATACTGCTTTGTATCTAGTTGTACCGATAAGCCAAATAATCCTAGATATATCATTTAAGTGTGCAATTTCAAGCACTGCCTAACTCAAGTGAGTCGTAAAAGATAAAGTTAAAATCGAGTAGGCATACATACATACATACATACTTTAGAGCAAATACGCATGCACATATTTGTACCAATTGACTTTGATTATGAACTACAAAGAACACTCTCGGTGCACAACATTTGAATGAATGTACTATGTATGCATGAATGTGTACCCATAAATTGCATTTCTCTATTAACAATTTGATAATTAAATGGAAAATTGCACATTGCACTACGAAAGCTTCAAAGCGCTGAAGTATGAAAAACTTTGTGAATTTGTGTAAAAACGATGACGAGCAGCAGCAGGCAGTCAGAAAGTTAAATATCTATATATGTACATATTACATATATACATACATACATATATAGAAAAGAGTTGACGCAATGCTTCAAAAGTAGTATAAAATGTCATCAAGCACTAATTATTGCGTCACCTTCCCAGCCTGTTGTCACACCTGTACTGCCTGCGGCTAGCCATCCATGGATTTTTGAAACTTATTATATACTTTCCAATTAATTGGCGTTCTTGTAAATTTGTCTTTATTGGTATTTTTGTGTGTGTGTATGTGCGAAAATTAGGATCTGAAATGCAACATATCAATGATCTTATGTATGTACATACATTAGGGCGGGTCGATTTGTAGGGGCCCAAAAAAATTAACAGAGGCACATCGCGATTATGATTATTCGGGTAATTTCAAGCATTTTTTCCCAAGAAATCATAGGTCTAAAATGAATTTCGAGCCAGAGATTTTTTCTATATATATATTTTTTTCAAGAAGTGGCTCACCTGCTGAAACAGCTGTATTGAAAACTACTGTAAATGTGTATCTTGGGGTTTTTGGGGTCGAGGAATCTATTTCTGGCATTATTTTTTTCTTTTGAGGGCCGCCAAAGGGCGCTTTCGTACTTTTTTTTGGATTTTAACGTATTTTTTCCGAAAATCGACAACATTGTCGCGAAAATCCACGAAATTTGACTTTCTCATAAAGCAACTTCAATTTTTGAATAGCCTAAAATGTTCAGCGTTCAAAATTTCTATTGTTTTTAAATTTTTTATTTTTATTTTTATTTTATTTTTTTTTTATTGTGCATATTAACACAGTGGCTGCGTTTCTTTATACATTCCGGATAATCCCATTTAACAGCCGGATTAAACAGAATACGTTTGAAATATACGTCAACATATCATCAGGAACGTTCTAAAGAATAAATAAACAAAAAAGTTTATTCCAAACATACAGAATGAATAAAGAAATGCAGCCAGTATGAAAATGAAAAATCATCCTGTCACACATGTTATTTGTCATACAATGGCTGCATTTCTTTATTCATTCTGAACGTTTGGAATAAACTTTTTTGTTTATTTATTCTTTAGAACGTTCCTGATGATATGTTGACGTATATTTCAAACGCATTCTGTTTATTCCGGCTGTGAAATGGGATTATCCGGAATGTATAAAGAAACGCAGCCAATATGTCAATAAACAGTATTACCAACATAATATTAAAAAAAAAACGGTATACGTGTTTAAAAATTTAAACACTAGAAAGTGTTTGTTTTTTTTTGTCATTTACATTTCATATATTTTTAGTTTTTAAGTTGAATTTTTGAATAAAAAGAAATTATATTAAAATAAGAAAAAAAAATTGTTTTTTAAAATTCAGATAGCAAATGAAAAAAACGAATTTGTTTGTCCTAACTTGAATAAAATCGATATAAGTTGTGCATGAATATACCTCCCGTCACCCTAATTTTCAACGCTGAACATTTTAGGCTATTCAAAAATTTAAATTGCATTACGAGAAAATCAAATTTCGTGGATGTTCGCAACAATGCTGTTGATTTTCAGAAAAAGGCGTTAAAATCCAAAAAAGTACGAAAGCGCCCTCTGGCGGCCCTCAAAAGAAATAATTAATGCCATAATTGATTTTCGAATTGATTCTCGACCCCAAAAACCCCCAGATACACATTTTGGCTAGTTTTCAATA